CATTAGAACTGATCAAATCGATTGTGCAGACGCATGCCCACTGCTTCCTCTCAATGATCTGATTCCCCCCCCCCCCATGGCAGATCACCAGCCAGGGACTGCCCGCTGCCGATTCGAATCGGTATCTATTTGGTGTTGTTTCTGGTGTCGGGGGCTGTGAGTCGGGGAACCCAGACGACAAAGTCGATCAGGCTGCCGCTGAATGGACGAGGATCCGACTTGGACCGGAGGGTGGAGGGGACTCCGGGGCAGGTGGGTCTTTGCACCGTATGTGGTCCACTCCCTGGCTCCTTGACGCTCCCCAAAAGGTGATTTGGTGTGGAGGAGGTGTGGAGTGCAGGCTGTGGGGTGTGGGGTGTGGAGGGTTATGTAGCTGAAGTGTGTATGTAGCAAGAGACTCGAGGCACTCTCCCAGCGATATTCCCATTGAGTCGCGCGCACTCGTTTTTCTTTTCGATTTGCGGCAGCACCCAACGCACTGAAATCGAATCGAAATAGGCCATGGCTCTGCCCCTGCCCCTCGTCGCTGTCCCTCTGTCCGCTGGTCCAGTTCAGTTCTTCTTGTTGGCAACTGCGGCGGCGGCATCGCTTTTAGCCATAAGATCACACACTCGGCGAATGGAGAAGTTGTTGGCGGTTGGCGGTTGGCGGTTGGCGGTGTTCGTGTTGCCCCCTTCTGGTGTGCAGGAGAGCAGGAGGAGGCCACGGTGATACATTTACGAGCGAATGTTACCCAATCTGACGATTACAGACACCCATAGCCATGGCCCTGTGCAATTTGTTGCCATCTTATTTTCCCATCCTATCGACGGGCACTGCAGGACTCTTCGTTTTGATACTGCCGCCATTCGGCGGAATGCCCATTGCGATGCCCATTTGCCGATAAAAAGAAACAAAAAGAATAGGTGCTCTCCTCTCCCGCAAGATCATTTGCATCCAGTCGATGCCAGCCAGCTGCTGAAGCCAATAACTAATCACTCATCGCCCGGATACTTCCGCTTTTGCCAGACCAAACATCGTTCATCTGGCAATGTAGAAAAGTGTATCCTGGTGTGCTGCAAATCAATAAACCTCTAGACTGTGCGGAGAGCTCTTCGATAAAAGAAGATCCTCGAAATAAATACACTCAATATGAAGCGAAATATCTGTAACAAATAAACCTACAAAGTTGAAGTTTTAATCCCCAGCTATGGGGTTCCACCTGCTTCTAACCCAAACAAAAAGCAAAAACCCAAGTTACATTTCGAATTGAGTGTGTAATAACCCGATGTCGGACGAAAGCGAGGGAAACGGCAACGAAATGCGAGAAATAACTTCAGCATAAGCATAATAAAGGACATGGGACCCTCAAGTATAAAATTCGCATAATTTAGGAGACCCAATAGCGATCCCCAGACCAAGATCTTCAGTGGCCAAAGCCAGAGCCACAGCCAGATAATCATTTAATGCCGTCCGAACAGAGGTAACGCCCCTGGATAAAAATAAGGAGAGAAAGAAAACAACAGCAGAAAAAACTGGTACCGACGAGAGCTAATAACATAACCCTCCAAGCCATAACCACACGACTACGAATACGAATACGAATACGAATACGAGTATATATCCAACTCATGGACTCCCCGACTACCACTCGAAATGCTCTTCTCTTGTGTGTGTTTTTATTTTTTGGGTTTCCCTTCTGCTGCTTCACCACCCATTTGTTTGCCTTACTCGCTGGCTGCCTTTCGGGATTGACAGGCTCTCTCGAGAGCCTTTCGCAAGTGTTTTCGGGCGACACAATAACTGCCAAACCTTCCACACACAGAGACACGCTCTCCGGTTGCCTTTTGGGCCGTGAACCAGCGAATTGGATTGGATTGGATTGGATTGGTATGGTTTGCTTTTCGGTTCGGTTTGCTTCGGTTTGGAGGAGGCAACCAACTATTTTTCCCCGTTAACATGTTCACTTCTCAAGTGCTTCCTTTGTGACTGACTGACTGACTGACTGACTGACTGACTGGCTGGATGGCTTGACTGGGGCCTGACTGAGCGCCTGTCTGCCTTGTATGAGGCTCTGGACGGTCGCTGGCTCGGCCGGCATATAAACACTGACACTGCCATGACGGGTGCCTTTCAAAGAAACGCAAACGCGAACCGCCGAATGCCAGTCCACAGTCCACAGTCCACAGTCCCCAATCGAAGTTCCAGGTCCCCAAAACCAAAACCAAACTCATACCCAGACCCAAGTCCCAGTCCCAGTCGGAGGGACTCAGTGTCAGTTGCACTGTCAGATGGCTCCGTAGAGAGTCACAGCCAAAGAGTAAGAGCAAAGATTATATAGTAGACGCTGCCAAGAATGAACCTAATTGTAGGGGTAGGACTCACTGTAACAATACCAAAATATTGAATAAATATTTATTTGGAATGGTATGGAAAGGCTAAAGATTGAAGCAAGATTCCACATGGTAAATTCTTCTGGGTTAATCGATTGGCTATAATTTGATGTAACTCCTACCTAAGTAAGATAAATATAATATAGATTTATTTATATGTGGAAGTATTTACATAAATGTATTTCTGTTCGCCTATATCCAGTGTCCACTGTGGAACGTCAAACACAACTTGAGAATGTTGTTCCATCGCCAGTTGACGACGCCAAACGTCGTCGTCGCTGTTAACCCTTGTGTGGTGCCGTGTGGTGCCGTGCCGTGCGCGCAAGGATTATGATTTATGCGGAATTGTCACGCCGCTGACAAAGTCAAGTCGTGTGTGGCTCTGGCTGTGGTGCCTCTTCAGTTCCACTTCCAGTTCCAGTTCCAGTTCCAGTTCCCCTGCCCAATGGATCAACTGCTAATGGCTTGCCGGGGGATCACTTGAGCGGCGACAGAGACAACAAGCGACAGACAGGCGAAAGAGAGAGCGAGAGAGGAGGCAATGACAACGACAGAGACAGAGACGGAGAGAGAATGAGCGACCAATGGACGGGATGGGTGACGGCCTCACCAAAGGGTTAATGCCGAATTTCAAAAGACTTTAATGAAAAGTTTAGTCGATTTGACGTCGCACTCGAAAAATCGCGCTCGACACAATCCTCCCCTCCCTCTACTACTATTGAAAACTGAACGGGGAACGACAGCAACAACAACAAACAAAAAGAAAGAAAGAAAAAAAAGTCAACCTGGTTCGAAGTCAAAGTCGAAGTCGAAGTCGACATCGCATAGCGCGTCCCCGTGGCACGACAACACGACATCATTTTGTACGTCACTCAAAAAGCGTTCGTAGGCTGTCAGGGAGACAGTTCAAAAATGAAATATATACACATATGTACATTGTACATTATAACAAATTCTAAAACGCAAAAAGAGCGGAGGTAAGACAGACAGACAGTCAGTCAGTCAGTCAGTCATTGATTGAACATACAGCTCGGACTTGCAAGCGAGGACTGGCACCCGCCTGGATTCCAGTGGGAAAGAGAGAGGCTGGTGGCAGCAGGAGGTGGCACTGGCACTGAAGTGCTGCTTGCCATTCCGTAACGATGACATGGGAGAGCCCGGGATACGGACGGGACCCCGCCCAAGTGTCATTGTCGTCGTACATTTTGATTTTATTATTGATTCAATTACAACGTCAAGGGGAAAATACTACTCGAACTTTTACAGAAAGACACCGCGCCTGGTGGAAAGGAAGGGCTTGGGGCTTGGGGCTTGGACTGAAGGAGCGTTGGGTGGTCAGGGATCAGGATGTGGAAAAAAGAAATAGTAGAAAAATGCACATAAAATATTCAGCTGCAAAGTGCAGTTGCTACGAAGGACGATTTCATTAATGAATCAATAAACCAGCCATCGATCGCACACGCTGCGAGGCATTCAACTAAAGCCTCTGGGGGAGATTTGCTGTTTGCCTGCCAGTTGACATGTGCCCCATGCCGCACCGTGCCCCATGTCGTAAATAATACACGGCCAGGCGATAATTCCGCTAATGAATTGCGCCAATGTTTGCGTAGTTAAAACTGTTGACTGTCCAAGTGCCATCAAAGTCAACAAAGTAGGCAAAATAACTGAAATACGTGTAAGAACCAGAGCCACGAACGACGAACCCAGGCATGCCCTACACTGCACCTGTGGGAGGCAGCGGGAGCGGTCAATCATTGGAGGGCCCAGAACAGAATATATTTTGTAAGAGATTTTGCAGAGAGAGAGTTGTCCAGAGACTGTTTGTTCAAGCTCTAGTCGGCAGGGTGTAGGGTACTTGCTTCTGATTCCCAATTTGTTTGCTCAAGCCCCGGGGGGGGGGGGCAACAAAAAACTGACAAAAATGCCTAAATGGTACCGCTAATAAGCCGTTTAAATTTGGTTTCTTCTCTTTTGTGGCCTTTTGTGTGCTGGTGTGTGCTAATGACAAAATTATTTGATTAGCTCATTTAATTGGTTTTCCTTTTACACTTTTGTGTCATGCGCTGCCGCTGCCGCTGCTGCCTGTCAAAGTTTTGGCTTCCGCTACGGAAGGGACTGCAAGGTCCATGGGTTCAGAGATACAAAAATTGCATGGCTGCAAAATATTTGTGTGACTATTCCTTGTTGATATTCCGTATTAATTGTAGCTGATCTTGTAGGCATCATTTTCACTACTTCAAATAATATTTGAGAGCTCATCTGTGGGTCGCCCAGACCCTCTGTCAGCTCTCCATCTCGCGACTTTTTGTTTGTTTGTGTGTGCCCAGGCACTTGGCACATTTGTCGTATCGTTTTAGAGACGACTCGGATTAAATGTTACGATCGTTTATTATATTTTGTCATTTGATTCGAATTAACACCATTTCGATGGGGTGTGCCGAGGGGCATGCCATTTTGCGGGGCAGTTTCAAACATCAAATCGATATTTAAGAGCACGGCCAGCGGAGATTCGATGCGATTCGGTGATGGATCTTACATGGATGTGTGAAACATTTCGTTGTTCGCTGTGGTTGATGTTTGACATTTCGTGGAGATCATCGACTAACCATTTGCTCTCTACTCTTGCAGATCCCACAGCACTGTCCAGGCACTTGGGAAGTAAAAGTCGGATCACGGTTACACGGCGGCAACGGTTCTCTCTCTCTCTCTCTCTCTCTCTCTCTCGCTTGAGATGTAAGTAGTAGCCATAGTATAATATCCACAGCCTAGCTGGTATTCACTTCCTCATTCTCTCTGTTTCGCTGCTTCGTTCGGGGTCAGTCATAAGCCATTTTGACAGTGTCCCAAACAAACTAATTTTTATATCTCTATGGAGAGACCAAGAGCCGAGATGGCCCCAGATTCGCTTCAGATACGCCACAACACAATAGAGTCACAAAGCTATTAAAAACTGATATAAATCTCATTAAATGCGATGAACAAAGCCGCCGCCGCCGTCGCTGCTTCCCGGCTTCTTGCCTCTTGCCTCTTGCCTTCAATCAATCGTTTGTTTCGCTCCCGGCAACGAACAAGAATGGCTCCTCTTGTGCTGCCCTGGTCTCGTCTCGTCTCCGTAATGGAGAATGGATTTCAGACCTGAAGATCGCTTTGGTTTACATTTGGTTTGGTTTCCACTCCACTCCACTCCACTCCAAAATGCCATGGCCAGGCCCAGAGATCAGAGCTTGAGTGCTCCTCTAACTCCGCCAAAGCTCGGACGCAAACTTTGGTCAACACTTTGGTGACGCCCCAGAAATATACAAAAATAAAACTGCACTGTAACAAAAAATAAAGTTTACAAAAGAGTGCCAGCAGCTGCAAATGGCAAATCCTTTCGTATTTCATCTCAACAGACCAATTGGTGAATTCAAAATCGCAAAAAATCTGTAGTTTCTTTAGCCTTCTTTGCGGCCTTGTATCCGACAACTCATTAAGCAAAGTTAATTTCGTGAAAGTGTGCCCTAAGATGCGCTGTCCAGATATCCCATAGATATCCCAGTAGCCCCAACATCACACTTGGCTCCTAAACAGCTCGCCGCCGCGCTCCTCCTGCCAGATCATATTGATGCGGCTGTCCGCGTCGTGTGCGCTTGAGGGCCTAACCCAACCATTCCACTTATTACACAGTCTAAGTCCCGGATTACGGGTAGCCAGCCGCTAAGACAGGGCCATCGGCAGCATTGGCAGCCGCTTACACAGCGGCGGAGCTCCTGCTGTGCAGTCAGACCCAAAACATCACATCTGATCGGCTGAGACAGTGCCCAGTGCCCAGTGCCCAGTGCCCAGAGAGTAGCGCCACTGTACCGTACCCCCCCAGAGAACCCAGACCAGGCATGGATCCAAAATCCATGTTCGTGCCGTGTCCTTTTCCATTGAGCCTCATCTCTTGGCGCTCTTGGCTTGGTGTGCTGTGCTCTGTGGTGTGGTGCAACCAGCGGCTTCCGTCACCGATCCCATAAGCCATTTGCATAAAAAGAAAAGAAACAACAAAAAACCAGAAAAAAAAAGAAGTGATTTTTGTTGTTGAAATCACTTTGTTAAGCTTTGTTGTTCGGCAGCAGTCGGGGGCGATCAGAGGCGTTCATAATCAGAACTGAAGTGATGCCGTGACCACGGGCGCTGTCGACTCTCGGCATAGCCGGGGACATTGGGCCATCGAGGCATCGGGCATTAACATCAGTTCTGGCTCTGTGGCTGCTGGAGCCGGGGAGCATGGCTTTGACGGCGATCGGTGCTGAGCGTTTGGCTGCCTGCCCAACATATCTCATATGCAGCAAGCCGTGTTGACACTTTTTATGTGTTTCATAAATTAAGTTTTACAAAATAGAGCCGCAGCCGTGGCTGGGACTGGGACTGGGACTGGGACTGGGGCCCCCTCCGTCGTGACGGGTTTGTGTGTTGAAGATCTGTGGGACAATCCGCATTGGATTGGATTGGTATCGTATCGGAACGGAACGGAACGGATCGCATCGCCTTTTGCCGCGTTTAATGGTTGACATTTGAAATTTTCTGTTGGTCGACTTTAACACGCATTTATGGCTTCTGCTTTATGGCCTTCGGAATGCGTTAAAAAAATGTTCCTTATGACTGCTTCGACTGCTGCTGCTGCTGATTCCATGCGATAAAGCCCAATAATAAAGATGATTGGTGTCTGGAATGCCATTTTTCTCTTTTCTTTGTTTCTTTAGTATACACACACACACACACACACGTCTCGCAGCTTAGCGGCAATTTTGTTGTGAAGACGAAAATGAGTTTCATGTGAAATTCAAAATTGAAAGGAGTCCAGACTGCCACGCAGCCCCACCAAGAGATGGATTTGATGGATATGGCAGTGTGGATAAGCCTCGAAAATTGCCCATCAGAATCAATATCAAGTATAGCCAATGCTCCGTAGGGACCTATCACAGTCTGAAAAGTCAGATATAGCGATCTTTCAGCTCAAATGAATCTCGGCCTAATCTTAGCCGATTTTATATTGGAAAGCCCCGCGCAGGTTATTGCTTTTCGTGTTCAAAAGTTGTTTGAAAAACTTAAGACAGAACAATTAGATGAAGCTAAATAAATGTGCAAGGATTTTTGTGGTCTCAAAATGATCTTAAACCACATCATAAAACATCGATCGAGCCGCAATTGTAATTGCATTCGAATTCGTTTGATTTGGTTCTTCTGGATATCCGAAATGAAAACTGTGTGGCACCTGTTGGAAATGCTAGGTAGGGTCTCAATGTCCGCCTGAACTTAATACGTATGTAAATACAGACATGCGCCAAATGATAGACCTAAATAACTGTCACTTTGATGCAATAACAGATCAGATTGATGCAATTGTCGTCTGGCTTTATGCCCTGCCATATACTTACAAGACCTACAGAGGAAGCCCCTCTTGGGGCTTGGGGCTTTGGAACAGGTTTGGTCAGAACTCGAGTTCGGAGCGAGCCAAAACAGAACAGAAACAGAACAGAGCAGAGAACAGAGAGGGCAACCGAAAGCAATTAAAAGCGGCCGAGACTGTCGCACAGAGTCTGCTCATCTCTGGTTGCCACAGATTCTGTAGAGAACTGAAACGTAATCGAAATAAATGTCAGCAGCAGCAGCAGCAGCAACACAAAGACACCACACCGAACAGGTGGCAATTAAAATACAATTTGTGTACCATTTAAATGACTCTTGGCTGGATGACATATGCCAATGCAGAGACAGACAGCCAGCCAGTCAGCCAGACAGCCAGTCAGCCAGCAAAAATAATAATAGAGTAATGAAAACTGCCATATGGGGAAAACCGATAATACTCGGCACAAAAATCTGTCAGCTTAGCCAACAACAAATGATTGTGGGATTTATATACATAGGATTGTCATTGGTCTTTCGGGGTCAGTAATATTTCATATTTATAAAATGATTTTTCCCACAGGAATGGCAGCAAAATCCTTGGCGCACCCTTGGGAATATTGTTGAAATGTTGTGTATTATTTTGTGGGCACACAAAAGCCTAATCTAAGCCTAAGAGATGTGATATATCTAGCTATTAACTATTATTTTGTCCATTTTGAGGTATTTTTCCAAGCTTCAAAGAACTTCGAATGATTTCTGAGGCATGGAATTAGCTGTAGTTGCTTTGGGAGCATCGTTAATTAATGAATTCATTGCCAAACAGCAGTCATCATCATCATCATCATCATCATTTAGCAATTCGTCAAGAGATCTTGCCGCAGAGATCGCAATCTCTGTCTCTGTGTCTGTCTCGATCTTGATCGCTTTTAAAGATCACGATCAGAGCCAGTTTTGGCCAATGGCTTAGCTAGGGGTCTAGGGGTCGGGTCGACTAGACATCGAGATCTTGACTCTTGTGCGGTGCCCAAGAATGTGACATGGCAACTTGAAGTGGCCCCAGTCATGGACAGCACGAAGAGCGTCTTCTGCTCTGCCACTCGGACATTGTCATGTCACGCCGGGCTCTCCACTCCACTCCCTCTCCACTCTCCACTCTCCACTCTTCACGCGTCCACTCTCCAACACTGGCCCAGTGCGATCTCTCTGTCTTCTCTGTGTGTTTGTGTGTGCCTCCAAGTGTCTGTCCTCGCATTCGCCGGCTCTCCAGAGAGCTCCGTGAAGTGTCCACTCAGAATTTGTCACATCATTATTCTTATTTTTCTTTTCAATAATCATATGTACACACCCGTGAGGAGAGGAGAGAGAGAGCACCCTGGTTGCCCGAGATGTGGTGGTGATGTGTGCCTGGGAGGTCTAGCGGCCACTTCGTTAGGCTTCGTTTTCGGTGGAAACTCCTTGAGCACTTTTTGGTGCTTATAGTGGGACAATGTTTCAGATGAAGAGCAGATATGGCCCAAGGGCCACTGAGGGGGCAGGTCCAAGAAAACAACAAAAAACTCATTGCCACACAGCTCGTAGATATCCAAGGGCGTAGTGTGTGTAGATTTTATTAGTTATAACCCTAGTTGGGTGTTTCAGTTGTTTTCCTTTCAAGAATATTGCCAATTGGCGAATACTATTTGGTATTTTCTTTTGTTTTGTTTTGGTATTTCTTTGTTAAAGTCATTCGTTTTTTAGCACATTTTAAAAATATATTCAGTATATGTGGTATATATTTGGGCATATTTAGTACTTTTGTTGTTGCTTTGATCTCTGCAGCCATTTGCTATAACGAAATCTCTTCCCTTTTTAAATATTTTTGCAGCAATTGCATGGAATTGGAAGATTAAGGAGGAGCAAAAGAGGAGAGAGGAGGATCACACCACAACGAATGTATACACACACACACACAGAAACACAGAGCTATACGTCAACATCCTATATCTAGTCTACGATATTGTCAAACAAAATATAACGTTTAACTGTAGTTTGTAAGCCGCTTGATGAATATTGGTCAGGAGAAGCAACCGCACTTGCATCCGCATCCGCAGCAGCAACAACAGCAGCAGCAGCATTCACATCCGCAGGCTAAACAACTACAACATCTACAGGCCAACAACAATCGCCTGCAGGACTTAGCGAGTCCACCGCCGCCTGGTTCGGCCAGTGCCAGTCCATCGTCGGGGGCCATCCCCATCGACTATCCGTATCTGCTCGGCTATCGCCTGCCGCTGAACCACGGCCATGAGAGACATCCCACGCACCACCTGCAGCACCACCACCACCACCAACAACAGCAGCAGCAGCAGCAGCAGCAGCAGCAACATCATCATCACCATCACCTCCACCAGCATCCATCGATTGGCAACCTTAGGCGCTCCAGCTCCAGCTCCCCAGTGCCCGTGCCCGTGCCCGTTCCGATGGTGATGACACCCAGTCGCCGCAGTTCGCCGCCACTGCCGCTACCACTGACATTGCCGCTGCGCCATCCCCTGAACCTCAATCACAGCCACAACCACAACCACAACCACAATCACAATCACAATTCCCATACCAATGCGAATGTGGGGAGCAGTCATCAGTCTATGAGCGCCCACTTCTCGTCGCTGGCCCACGCCCAGCTGCATCTGCAGAGCCAGCTGCACCAGAAGCTCTCGGCGGCCAGCTACTTCCGCAATTCCTCGCCCTCGCCCTCAACGGACAACAACAACACCACCAATACCAACAGCAGCAGCAGCAGCAGCAGTCGGAATCACGCTGCCTGCTCCACGGCCCCAGCCTCGACGGCCGTGTCCCCGCCCGCCACGAGCATGAGCACCGCCCAAATGAATCCGCTGAGCGATCTGCAGAATATGCAGCCCTTCGACTTCCGAAAGATCAGCTCCGCCAGCCTGGGGGCCTTCTCCACACCACTGCCGCCCAGCCCCACCGAGTTTGTGCACCACCATCAGCAGCATTTGCAGCAGCAGGCGGTGCAGCAGGCCGCCGTTTTGGCCCAGGCACGCCGTCGGATCAGCGAGGCCAGCACTCCGGGGGAGAAGAGTGCCGCCGTGGCGGCTGCTGCTGCAGCAGCGGCTGCGGCAGCCGCCCAAAGCAATCAGTTTTTCAGCGCCATGGCCATGGCGGGGCACCCGTTGCCGTATCACCTGCCGCCGCCTCCACCACCGCCGCCCCCACCGCAGCAGTCGTCGCAGTCCTCGTCGTCCACGCAATCGCAGGGCAATCAGACGTCGGGCGATCGCTCCGAGATGGGTCATGGCCACGGACACAGTCACAGTCACGGACATGGCCACGGACACGGACACAGTCACAGTCACGGCAATCATTCGCCCAGTCACAATCACAATCACAGTCACCAGTATCAGCATCCGCATCAACATCCCCAGCAGCATCAGCACCCACATCCGCATCCGCATCAGCAGCATTCGCATTCGCATTCGCACCACCAAAAATCATCCACTGGAGGGGGAGGAGACGAGTCCTCGGGCAAGTCATCGCGTCACTTGGATAAGGGAAGCAACAGCTGCTCCTCCTCCACAGCGTCAGGATCGGGCTCTGGCTCAGGCTCGGGCTCGGGCGGCTCCGGTGGCTCCGGTGGCTCCGGTGGCTCGGGCTCCCAGCGCATGACCCGCCTGGCTCTGTCCTCCAACCTACGCTCTGGCCGCAAGACGCACTCGCCCGGCGGTGCCGGTGGCGGTGGCGGCGGTGGTGGCGGGGGAGGGGGCGGCAGCAAGCGCCAGTGGGGCTCAATGCCCGCGAATTTGGGGACGCAGTTCATCAATCCGGTGACCGGCAAGAAGCGGGTGCAGTGCAACGTCTGCCTGAAGACCTTCTGCGACAAGGGCGCCCTGAAGATTCACTTCTCGGCGGTGCATCTGCGGGAGATGCACAAGTGCACCGTCGACGGCTGCAGCATGATGTTCAGTTCGCGCAGGTCCCGCAATCGGCACAGCGCCAATCCCAATCCGAAGCTCCATTCGCCGCATCTGCGACGAAAGATCTCGCCGCACGATGGACGCTCCGCCCAGCCGCATCCGCTGCTGCTGCAGGCGCCCAACGGCATTATGGCCGGGCTGGCGCCCTTCGGCAGCTTCCCCCTGCTGACACCGCCCCCCGATCTGCGCCACCATCCGGCAATGGGCGGGGGCTCGGCGTTGGACCTGAAGCACGGGCAGGAGTATCTGCAGCGGTCGTACATGGAGAACGGGGGCATGCTCGTGGGCGGACGCTTCGATGGGCAGGGGCCCAGGCGCAAGGCGCTGGAGGTGGAGGCCGACGAGGACGAGGATGATGACGAGATACTCGAGGTGGGCATCCACATGCCCGACGACGATGACGACGACGACGATGGGGACGCAGATGGCGATGGCGATGGCGAGGACGATGACGATGATCCCGATGGCGATGGCATTGTGGTGGTGGGCGACGAGCTGGACAGCATACCGGACCGGGCCGGCCATGGCCACGATCGGGACTTTATGCTGGACCAGGAGCAGGACCAGGACGATGCGAGCGTCTCCAGCCACAGTCACAGCCACAGCCACAGTCAAACCAAAGAGCAGCCCAGCCCGGGCAAAGCGACGGCAGACGGTCTGGAGGCCATGGACGAGCAGCATGATGACTCGCCCAGCCATGGCCATGGCCAGATCTCGGCCAGCAAGCGAAAGCGCAAGAGCCAGAATCCAGTGCGCTGCACGGTGCAGTCGGACGAGAATTCCTGTGAGAACTCCCTCGACTATGACGTGGCCGCCGATCTCTCCATCAAGAAGATTCGACTGGGTGCTGCAGCGCAGGGCGCAGAGGTGGCAGGAGCAGCGGGAGCGGGCGCCACAGCAGCAGCGGGTGGGGGGGAGGAGCATGCTTCATCAGCCAAAGAAACGGAAATGGGACTCAGCAGCTCCAGCTCGAGCAGCGAGTCCACCAAGGCCATTCCCTCGCCACCGCTCACGCCCTACACAACGCCAGGGGATGGCAGGCCGCCGGTCAGCATCAAGACGGAGCTGCCGGACGAAACGGAGGCGGAAAAGGATGCGGCCTGCACCACGCTGGACCTCTCGCGGGCTTCGGCGGGCACTGGAACTGGCCCAGGGATTGGGATCATCAAGCAGGAGCCCCTGGAGGAGCTGGCCCTCGGCTATGATAACGATGAGAATCGCTATTTGCGCATCAAGCAGGAGCTACTCGGCACCGACGAGATGCAGGACTGCACCGGCAGGATCCACAACAATAACAACAACAACAACACACCACCTGGTGGGGATTTGCTCAAGACGCTGGCCAATGGCGAGGAGGAGGAAGAGGAGCAGACAGAACGCGAGACGGAACCAGAGCCAGAACCCGAACCGGAACCCCAACCAGGGCCCGAACCAGAGCCCGAACCAGAGCCTGAGCCCGAGGTGCCCATTGACAAGGAGAATCCACTGAAGTGCACCGCGTGTGGGGAGATCTTTCAGAATCACTTCCACCTGAAGACACACTACCAGAGCGTTCACCTGAAGCTCCACCACAAGTGCAACATCGATGGCTGCAATGCGGCATTCCCCTCGAAGCGCAGCCGCGACCGTCACAGCTCCAACCTCAATCTGCACCGGAAGCTGCTCTCGACAAGCGATGATCACGGCCACCTGCCCGGCACCTGCACCAGCAGCGCTGGCGGCAACGATCCCCTGCTGGATCTCATGGGCCTCAATGTGAATCTCAACAACAACAAGGGCGGCTTCGGCGGCTGCCCGCCCGTGGGCGTGGTGCCCGGCAACATCCAGGCGGAGATCCTGGCCCGCATCTGCGCGGGTGCCCATGCCCATGGGCTGAGTGTGCCCCTCTGCATTGAGGCACTGCAGCATCGCTTCGCGGTGAGTCATGGCCACGGCCATGGGCAGTCGCCGACGACATTCGGGGATGGCGGTGGCAATGCCAATGCCTTCATGGGTAGCGGCGATCCGCGGCTGCTGCTCAATCATGGCGGTAATCCGCTGCTGTTCGCCGGCTTGCCGCGCCTGCCACGCTTCCCCCAGCTGGCGCCGCACATGCTGGCCGCCGGTGCTGCTGCTGCCGGTGGACTGGGGCCATTCTGCAGACGCACCTCCTCCGACTCGAATTCGCAGCACTCGATCACGCCGCCCGTGTCGAAGAGCTCGCCACTGTCCCACTCCCAGTCCCAGTCCCAGTCCCAGTATTTGCGGCCACGATCCCGTTCGGTAACGCCGGACTATGACATGCAACAGCAGCAGCAGCAGCAGCCTGCGGCGGCATCAACTGCCGCGGAGGAGCAGGAGGCGGGCCCAAGGCAGAGTCCCGATCGCATATCATGACCATGTACCTCGTACTATGCCAAGGCATTGGCATTTTATCACTAAAAATCGAACGATCAACGAGCAGTCGCCGCCCGCCGCCCGCCGCCTTGGCCGTGGCCGGTCCCATGTCATGCACACACACACACACACACACACCACAGAATATATGTATATGTATATGTATTCATTCATGCAATATCAGGCTAAAACGTAGGACTACAGCATTGCTCATAATTCACAACGATAAATAGAGGATATAAAGAAGGATGAACTGGATGGGGGATGCCGCCCGCTCATCATAATAACAAAAAAATATAACATTTTACTAGGCTAATGGCTAATATAAAATATTAGATGGATCAACTAGCATTTTTTTTTTCTATATATATAAACAGATATGAGTATACACACACACACACACACACACACACACGTATAGTGCGAGTCCCTTTTTTTTTTAAACTTGTATTTATAAAATGAAAAAAAAAAAGAAAAGATAAAGAAAAAGAAAAACTGTTTGTTGTTTTTTGCGTCGATCGAGAATTGTAGAGAATTGATAAATGAATGGGTGGGAGGATTGGGTGTGGATTGCAAATAAATTAAATACTTATAATAACACAAGTAATAAATAAAGAAATAATTAACGATATATATTGTTAGTGATACTCGATTATGTAAGTACCGTTTAGCCACTAAGCCCAGCGCCTAATAATATGTGTATGTAATTTTTTTTTTTTTTTTTTTTTTTTTTTTTTTTGGCTATCGTAACTGAGAATCCCTAAGTGTATTTGTATATGATAGTGACGATGATGAGATGAGTCAATGACGAAACGCTTGCTAGGAAGAAAAGAAAGAGAGAAAAAACAAAACAAAAAACTACTGATCAACGATCTTTGATCATCTACTGATACTATCTGGATGTGCATCGCAAACCCATACCGAAGTTGTGTTGTTTTCTTTTTATTACACAAAAACCAATCCTAAAGTAACTATATAGTGAGTTAGTTAGTTCTGAAACAGTAACCAGGCAAATACCTTCAACTCATACTTAAGCCTATATATGTTTGCAATAAAATATCAATGAAAAATCATAAATCAAAATGTACTTCTCGCTTGTCGTTCTTGTGGGGGTGCTCTGTGGTATTACCTACTGGAAAACGTAATGAACCTGGTTAAGTTGTGGTTCCTCCGTTGTGACCGCTTCTTGTTCGATCTCTCGTATGCTGCGCACAAAGTGTGTGTTTGCTGCATCGCTTTGCTTTGTGGATTTCAGCACAAAGCTGAGGCAATACTTGATGTTCGATTTAATGGACTTATTTTATAGTCAATGTTGCTGCTGCCGTCATAATTATAGTGGTTGCCGAATACAGCTCGTGAATGGCAGCGAGTAAATCCTCAAATAAAATAAAACAATGCAAAATCGTTTCACAATTCAAACTCTTTTTGCTGTGTGTCTCTGGTGTTCCAAAAAAGGGTTTGACTCTTGGCTAATTGTAAAGAATAGTTTGGAGCTCCATTCATATGTGGGGAGGGAGAAGCAATTGCAAATTGCAAAACTGATAATAATTGGGATTGCAGATAGTGGATACTCGTAGCTTAAAATGCAAAATGGAAGTTGGCAAATGGCAAATGGCTCGCCTCGAAAAGGGTTGATTCTAGCGAGCCATTTAATTTTAGATCGATTAAGGGAGCTCGTAAATTTAGCTGCCTTTGGGCCCTGTCCTGGGACTGGGACTGGGACTGGGACTGCCACTGGCACTGGCACTGCGAGGGCGTCAGTGTCCAAATAAATAAATGCAGCGTCGTCCTCGTCGTATGGGCCCTGCAAGTACTCCTATCGTACGTATCTGCACATGCTGGCTGGCTGGCTGGCTGGCAGGCAGGAAGGAAGGCAAGTGAGTGTCTGTAGGGTGTATCTCATGGATAAATGGTTGCTGTGTGTGTGGTTGTCCATGTCACCCCTGGGCCTGGGGCTGACACACACCGACGCCATTCACCATTCACCATTGCAATGGCAATGGCCCTCCCCTAGGACGAACGGGGGCAGGAGCCCAAGTCCGGGCGGGAGCAGTGGCAGACCACACGTACAGAAAATAACAGAGCCAGAGCCTCGGTTTGGTGCAATTTATTTAAAGTAACATTTTAGTGTTTCCTTCCGCTGAAATTCGTTCTCTTCCTTCCTGTTGGCAGGACGCTCGCACTCGCGCTCATACTGTCTGTGCCACTGACTCTCTCTCTCTCTCTCTCTCTCTCATCCTGCCCTGTCCTGTCCTGTCCTGTCCTGTCCTATCCTAACGTATCGTTTCGTTTTGTATCGAGGCCCCAGCTCGAAACTGAACCCGAGACGAGACCGAGGTGGAAAAACAACAGATTGTGGGTAAATAAAATTGCCACAATGTTATCGTTAAGCCTGCAACGGACACGCAGAAAACAACGGCAACAGCAACAGCAACAGCAACAAACAGTTAACAGCCACAGGGAACTCAGCGGAGGGGGGTATCCAGATAGTACCACCATTTATGTACCACATACGAGTATGTACAAGTACCCCCTACACACTCATATGTGTAGCCAGCTCTACTGCTGCTCTGCCCTGTCCATTACATGCCCAGGAGTACGTGTATGCTGCCATATGGTGCACCGCGCACATACTCGTACTTGTAATCATTTATACCCCCTCACTCCTGTGTGTGTGTGTGTGTGTGTGTGTACCCGTATCTATGGGCATGTTTCTTTCATTTGCAACCTCAATACAAAACGCTTAAATATATGCCATTTAGTGGCGCCAAGCGGGAATCCGACAAAGTTAAAGTTACAAAAAAATATGTACGAGGCAGATGACAATCTCAGACCCTTAAACTCTACAGGATATGTGTACAAGAGTCTGCGCTGTTATTATTAAAACTACTACAACTTTGATTATGATTGGCTGCCAATAACTTATTTCCAGTACTACAACTATTATTATTATTTATTTTATAATTTATTGAAACAATTAATTCGAGTGCTCTAATTATAATTAATACGAATCTAAGGAGATACAACAATATCGAAATAAATGTTTTAGGTCTTGGGATCGTTTGAAACTGTGAGAATATTTTACTCACTGTCGTATCGTCTCTTGGCTGGGCTGGGTTGGGTTGGGTGGCATTTGCCCATCTTTAATGTTGATTTTATGAACCAGCGCCAAGTAAGTGAAGAGCCCAACGAAATGTTGAATGGCAATGCAGGGAAAAGTGTTTTTCTCGACCCAAAAAGAAGCTGGCTAAACTCGGCATTAATATGCATGAAAAGTTGGCTGGCCGATCCATCATGGAACGAGCCATGGGTGAGACGAGTGTTTCTTTATTTATTACATATCTGAAACAGGAACAGGAACAGGAACAGGAAAGTGCACCCAGCACACACAGACGGGTTGGGGTGGCTGAGCCGAGCATCTGTGATGTGATGTGATGTGAGGGCCACTTAAGAAATCAGCAACAATAACTCTCAATGGGGATAAGCCCCGAGCAGCAGCAAGATACGCAGAGAGGGCACAGCCAACCCCTTGCACATATCGGAAACCCTTTTGTCTTTCCTGGCGACTGCTGCAAAAACTCTTCTCCACCCATCAGTCCAACCAGGCACAACCTGACCTGACCTGACCTGACCGTCCAGCCTGTCCGTTCGCTCTTATCGGTGTGATTCCAACGGCATAGAACGAATTAAATGCTTACATGAACAACAGCAGCAGCAAAATAAAAACACAGACCTCACAGAGCTTTTGGCTTCGATGTTGAGAGTTTTGAAAGTATTTTCTAGTCCCCAGACGAGCAGAAGAACGCACTTTGAATATCCTTTTCCAATCAAATTATACAAACAATGATAAGTCTCATAGATACACATAGATTGTAGATGCTTTTTTAGATTTGAATTGTGGAGTGCAACACAAAATAGAAGAATACAAAAAACTGCACATTTTGTGTGGGAAAAGAAAGTGTATTTAGCCCGAAGAAATAATAATAATAATCAACGGAAATATGTAATACATCACACAGGCCTTGGACACACTTTGGGCATACGAAATTCGAGAGGAGGGATTGAGGAAGGGACCGGCGTGGCAGGACCTTCGGCAGGTGTGTGAGCCTTAGCGGTTCAAATCGCATTGACGTGTGTGCCAAAAGAGCGTAAAACCTCAAACACGTTGTGTAACTTTTATGCGTTACAGTTGAACCGGAAACGGAAATCTAATAGACCAAAGCATGCATAAGTGATGAAGCGAGAAAAACGTTGCCCCGAACCCAAAGAATCCAAGAACTCCAGCCACTGCCTGACTGTCCCACATCCCTGATGGAGTGGCAGAGAAAAACCCTTTTCAATGCTCGGCCCAAAATCTTATCAGCGGCTTCAAGTTTCGCCCATCACGTGTGGCCTTTTTCTCCCATCTGCGGGCCACTTTTCCCGCTACTTTTTCTGTTGTTCTTCATCATTTTCATTCCCTTTTTCGGCATTTGAGTTTAGCCCCTGGACGTGGTGTGGTGTGGTGTGGTGGGGGGGCTCTGCTTCTTGGCCGAACTTTGGCAGCCACAAAACCCTTTGCTCACTGCCACTTTGGAGCCGGTCGAGCGGATGTGTGCGGATAGGTGTGCGATGTGTGTGTGTGTGGGCTGGACCTATGCACGGCCTTGATATTGCCAACACATGTTTTCGGGAAGATTACCTTGTCAATCGGTTCGTTGAACGATTACTTTTCAAATGTTTGGCGAAAGCCAGCCAACAAAAAACCCAGCAGGAACAAAGGGAAAGCTGCAGGCCAAAAAGACCAGTACAAAAAAAACAAAAAAAACAACAACAAAAACGACTGGGAGAGGGGAGAGCTGGAGACCCAAAAACAATCTGTGGCGGCCCAGTAAAGCTGTCATGCGTTCTCCATAAGATTCACAACTTCCTTCCTGCTCGTCCTCTTCGGCAAATAGAAAGCAAAGCGATACGCACCACAAGAACCACCTCAAGCATTCCCTCTCCAGCAAAACCCAATCCCCAATACCTTGGCTGGAGATGGGTTCCAGCGACAACATTGTTTTATTTCTCATTTCACAGGCAATGCAATAAAATCGCCTAAATATGCTTCGACCGAAGAAGGTAAGTGGTTTCGTTTGTTCGCAAAAGTTCGCTTCACTGCATCCGAGTGCGCCCCGCGGTGCAAACATTGGCGCCTTTTGCCCGGGCTTATACACCGCCGACGAGTACCGGTCCGTGTCCACGTCCGCCTCCCCACTCCTTCCTTCTCCAAATCCGCTGAATCTCTCATCCTGCCAACGTGTAAATGCAATCCCCTACCCTAAATAAATTTTTGCATGTGCAAAAAAC